TGCTGAACTTCCCTGGCTAAAAATAAACTTCCCAATATTTCAAACAATAAGTTATTCCTTAAAAACTTTTTCTCAGACAGAATTGAACAGCATCCAGCAGGGGTGAAAAGATGTCCTGAAAGCCTGGTCTTTAGGAGAGATGTGAAAAAAGTCAGGAGTAACAAATTAGAACAGTTGGGCCACAATTAATTTGGCTTTGACAAGCTATTCCTACACAGGTTTTGCTATTCTATGTTTAAACTTGACTTAGAACCATTTCCTTTCACCTCTTTCCTCCCAGTTTCCTCAAAAGTACACCAATTTTTCTGCTGATCTGGCTGAGAAGCTGGATTTGCTGTTTGGTTTGCAGTCCCTTGTAGAGAGCAGCAGAGACTGGCCGCCTGGTTAATGTCAGTCCCCTCTTATTTACATTTGACAATACCTATTTCTGATTGTGTCTTTCTGGCAAGTGAGTCTCTAAACTGTGAATGGCTTAACATACAGCAGCCTGAAAGCACTGTCTTGCCCATTTACCAAAGTGCTTTGGAAAATAACTACTGGATTTAGCAAGCAATCACATAAGGAAAAGTCCCACCAATTACTAGATTGCTAATAGTATTTTTGCACCACATTGCTATGAAGAATACAGTGATTTAGCAGCAATACAGTCTCTGTATTCTTGGTATAGCTGTTTCCATTTAGCTGAAAACAAAGTGAGGAAGACTATAACCTTATATGTAATGAGCTCTGAAGAATAGTAGGTAGTCTGTAATTTCAGATGCCTTTAGAGCCAGTTTATATCTATAATTATTACCTGGAAACATATCAATTAGTGGGGTATAGCTGACTGTGTAACTGCTTAAACATTATCAACAGTAAAATCATTGCTAAATAGGTAAGTTTTCTACCTATAAAGAATCTCTTATCCAACATTCGCCTTCAGAGCTGGAAAATGCAGGCCACCGACTGTACTCTGACCTTTTGTCATTTAGCTCATTAGTAGTAAATATCTGACTAGTAGTATGTTCTTCATAGGTTAATGAGTTTAAGTTAGTGCCTGTTGTTGCTGGGTGCGATGAAATTTCCATAATCAAGAAATATTGCAGTAAGTCACAGCAAATAATAAGGAAATGATACAGAATTCTCCAGATCTTTGTGTATTGCTGCTAATGAATTAGGACTCTTGAATCATATCACTTTCAAGAAAGCAATAAATATATTGATTTTTTTTTTCCTAATGATGGGGCATTTTCTTCACTAGGATTTAGCATTTGTAAATGTTTATTATGTGATGGAATAAGAAAGCTTTTCTGTTATACATTAATAACTTCTGCTCCATCCCTTCGTGCTTTTTTTCTATTTTTGTAAAACAGAATAAAAAGTTCTCTCTTATCACCTTGTAGTTGCTTGAATGCCTCTCAAAAATAGTGGGGAAAAGTGCCTGATCTGTTTTATTTAGATTTCTAACAGATATAACTAGAGTTCCTCCTAGAAATTTACTGAAGATGGTAGAGTTGTGGATTAAGGAGCAAAGAGGCAGTAGAGCAAGACAAAATTTGAAATACAACATGATTGTTGCCTAAATTTATGCTCAATTTTCAAGGTTGAATTAGTGAATGTAAATATTCAAAGGAATATGTCAGGCACAAATTATTTAAGCAAATAAAAATTACACGTTTCCCTGCCTAAAAATATTTGTTGAGAATTGAACTAAATGCATAAGCATAAAAAGAAAAAAAAGCAAGCAGCATCGGCAAATGTAAGTTTAACACTGAATTACATAATGTATACAGCAAGAACTGACTATGTAATCATGGTGATCTCATCAGCATCCCTTTGGGTATGCAGGTATCTAACCACCAATTTCTCAGCACACTGTAGTTATATAATTTGCCCTTTACTGTTGTCAGGTATGCAGAACACTTGTGCTTCTGTAGCATTTCATTTCTTCAAAGAACACTCCAGTTCCATATATATCTTCCCTGTACGTTCTTTGGGAATAGAGGCAAGGGCACTATCTCCATTCTAGCAAAGAGATCAGGTGACTTGACAATGTAAACACAGTTATATATGGAAGTAGAACTAGGTTTAGGACTTACATTTCTACCTTCTCCTCTTTAGCTTGTAGAATATTTACCTTGAAATCTTTGTACTTGGTAAAATAATAATTAAATTTCAAATGTTTACAGATGATGCTTCTACATCTAGTACCCTTAAAATCAACTTTAGCTCTCAATTAAATAAACTCACTGATTGAGACTAGCTTAGGAAATCAGAAAGCAATGTGAGATGTCTGAGCACCATCTGGATATACAATTTGGCTGTTCCAACGCAGTGCAGTCTACCACAATCTGTGTGGTTTTAGAGTTTGACGTGTTTGCAACTGCATTTATTAGGCATCCACCTAATCACAGAGGATGGTCTTTCAGATTAGATGTATGCAGCCTATTTCTAAAAATGTACTTATCACTGACTGGTGCCCTTACACGTATTACAAAACACAAAGACCCTGACCAGGCTTTAGCTAGTCAAAGTTAAGCATTGAAAACGTTTGGGCTAGTCAGAGCTCAGCAGTGCAATCCATCTTCTAAATTCCTGTAAGCGCCAATGTCTTGGTTTTATGAGATATACTGGGTTAGCTGCAGGTTTTATGTATGGGCTGTGGTCCCTGGCAATGGGTTTTATGAGCCATACAGTTAATTGCTGTTAAATTTGATTTATGATTCAAATCACTTTTTGAGGCTGGGCTGCTTTCTGCAAGCTGAGTTAAAAGTATGTCTCTGGAAAGCGGGCATGGCTGTGCTCTGACCTCCTCTGGTCCAGAACTAATGAATATGTCTGAATAAGATACGGTACAGTATGAATACATTCAGAATTCAAGGCTTTTTCTTCCCTGAAAGGCATATCTTATACTGCTTAGCAGAGTGGACCTATTTATGCCAAAAGGGCTAATAGTAATTAAGATAAGGGAACATGCTAACATTACTTGAGGTGTTTTTTGTTTGTTTGGAGTGCATACAACTAGAAAGTGCAAAAAATCCCAGTGT